ATATATTTCCTTTTTTTTTTTTTTTTTAATTTCTGACCCCCGCCCCAGAGCACACAGCCATTTAATGCCCCTGAACACCAGTAGGAGAGCAACACATGGATTATGCGAGGAACTCATAGAATCTGAATCAGTGAGGCCCCTTTGGTGTTTGGAAGATGGTGTGATCTTAAAGAACAGCTTCCAGATAATAAACCTAAAGTGGTGCAAAAGAGGCCATAGTGACAGAACTTGAACTAGAATCCTTAAATAAATGTGACCCGGGGAAGAGCATTGGGTAATGAGATGCTCTGGCATTTCTCTAATGTGGAAATGGGCAGGGATGGTGGGGGGGAGACTGTTCTTTCTGAAGACTAGAAAGTTCTTAAGTGGAAATGTTTATGTGGTTTGAAGCTATAAATGGCAAAGCTTGTGAAAAAGACTATCCTTTTGACAGATAGTTGGAAAGCTCTTTATAGGACTCCCCAGGCTAAGGATGTGTCTCCTTAGTGAGGGTTTGACACACTTTGGAGAGAGTCTCTGTCCCTGTGTGGCCTGAGCCTTGTGGGCCATGCAGAGCCCCTGCCAGTACACAGCACCAGCCATTTGAGCTGGTTGTTGTCCCAGGACCCCCCAACATTTGTGCCCACAATGCTTGCTTTGTCCTTCATCCCCACATGTGCCCCTATTCAAGTCTGGTCTTGTTTCTCCTTATCTCTTCCTGTCACTGTGTATTTACCCTTCTTGAGCCTGCTGTCAGGAGCTCCAGGATTCTTGGACAGTTTGTCAATTCCATCTGCCTTTAATCGGGGTCAGGATAACATGAGAAATTAGGTGTTTGAGTTGGCGGGGAGTTGGGAACAGTGCAGTGAGACTGCCATATAAGTAAAAACTACCACTGGAAGCATTCAGGCTTCTAATTTTTTAACCATTTTAATGCCTCATTAAGATGTATTGCTTACATTCTTCTACTATAACTGAGTGTGTTGAATTGAAAATCTCAGGGTCTCTATGACAGGCTCAGCTCTCATGTGCTGGGATGCCTCCAGTACCATTGCAAGAGGCAGAGGCTTAAGCGGGGGGAGGGACAGTTTGGGTTTTGGATGTGCATTCCTCAGTGTCTCTGTTTATATTTCACTCTGCCCACAGATTGGGGACCACAAATTCAGTGCCCACCGGATCGTCCTAGCGGCCTCAATCCCGTACTTCCACGCTATGTTTACAAATGACATGATGGAGTGCAAGCAGGATGAGATTGTAATGCAAGGAATGGACCCAAGGTACTCCATGTCTCCGCTAGGTCTCACAGCCTGCAGTGCCACTGGGGGGCCTGCAGCGGGACGCGGCATCTAGCGCAGCTGTGCGCACACAGTAGGTGATTTGGTAAACCAGTTAGAACCTCTGCCCAGTGGCCCGAGACAGGGTTAAATTGAGGAGAGTTTTTCTGATGCGTTTTTACTCTATTAGAGTAACACATTTAATAGGAACTAGACCAAGATATTTTTTATAACTAGGACTGGGTACAAGGTGCTGGAATTCTATTCTGTGTGCTTTTTTGTGCCAGCCATTGTAGCTGGCAAAACAGTTTTTCAAATAAGTGTCTTCATTCATTACCCTCCTTACCAGTCTAGAAGTGTTATCCATCAGAACTTCCTGCATTTGTACTCTCTACAGTGGTAGCTACTAGCCATACATAGCTACTGAGCACTTGAATTTTAACTAGGGGGATAAAGGAGCTGAATTTAAAATGTTTTAAATTTAATTGTAATTAATACAGTTTTTAAATAGCCACGTGTGACTGGTGACTACTCTATTGAGACAACACAGATTCAGAAGATGGCAAAATTGTGGTTATTTGATGGTTGAGAACATTGATGTCCAAAGAGGTCAGGCCCAAAAGTGATCCCCTCTAAATTTCTTCCACTGTCCAACACAGCCCTTCCTAGCAAACAGTTATTGGCCTCAAAGGTCAGTACTGCCGCTAGATGAATTTGCGCTAGATGAATTTTTGGGAGCGGAAGGCAGTACCATAACCCCTGAAATCATGCCATTTAGGCACTTACTTAAAGTTGTCCTTACATGTAGAGTCGCTTACTACTGGACCCTCTACATGGAAATACTTTCCTGATTACTGCATGCAGACTTTATGTAAACATATCCCATAGTATGCCTTTTTGGGCCTCGAAAGGGAAATGGATGTTTATGTGACTGATTCTATGCAAGTCTATGAACTGAGAATGTATGTTTATAACCTAGGCTGTATCCAGGGGCCCGCTGCACACCTACTATGTGCCTGGCACTGTTCTGAGATCTGGAAATGCAGTAGCGAACAAAACACACAGGGTGACTCAGGGCCATGACATTCTCGTTGGAGGAGAAATAATAAACAAAACAGGGACTCTAAAACGTCAGCCAGTAACCTGTCATTTGTTGCCTACCTTCTTAATCTCACAGTGATGGAAAGAAGGGGTAAGGGAGCCAGGAAACTGTAGTACGCTCTGACTGATTGAAAGTGATCTGCCCCAGCACACGGGGAGGATTTATATACCCAGTGCAAGGCAGAAATCTCAGGCCAGCTCCCTCTAAGGAAAGACACAGAAGTGGGTGTGCAAGGGCAGTTATGCACTCTCTTCTCTCAGGTCTGTGTCTGAAGGAGCTGTGCTCATCACCACGCACAGCACACGCGCTTCATTTAAAAGAGGTAGACTGAGCACCTGTTATGTGTGCTGCTGTAGACACTGAGGAATAGCACTGAGAAGACAGCACCTCTTATTGTACCAGCTTTCTAGTCGTGAGCATCTGGCATTAAACATGCACATGCGTCGTATGGCTGGCAAGTGAAAGTGATATGAGAAAAGTAAAGCAAATGAAGGTGGGCTTCTGTGCTGTTCCAGGGTGATCAGGGAAGGCTTCTGTGATGAGGTGACATTTGAGCTGAGACCTTAATTAAAGTGAGGGAGTGAGCCATCTGGGGAAAGAGACCTCCAAATAGAGGAGCAGCCAATGCAAAGGCCCTGCGGTGAGAGTGTGTTTGGCATATTGGAATGGAGTGAGGGCTAAGAGTAGAAGGTGATGAGGTCAGAGAGCTGGAGAGGGGTCAGACCACATAAGGCCCTAGAAACAGAATTTGGATTTCATGCTCAGTGGGAATAGAAAGGCAGAAAAATTTGTTGGAGTCTCATTCTGGAAATTCATCTCGAAGAAATAATAAGAAACATTATTTATGATTGCAATACAATGAATGCCATGAGCTATTTTGCCTACCAATAAAGGAAATAAATTATAGCTTGTTTATGTGTTGAAATACTATATAGCAGTCACTAAAAATGATAAACATGAGGACAGTATAGCAACATGGGAAAGGAGTTGATAAGTATTACATGATTATATCCATACCATCTCTACATGCAGGCAAATGGGGATTGAAAATGAACCTAGAAAAATAACCACTGTTGACTCATTCAGTAGTAAGATAATGGGCACTTGCTTTCTTTTTCAGAATTTTCTGAATAAAATTAGGCAATAAAGACAGCTTAAGAAGTAGAATGTATCTTTGGCTCCTGGTGAAGTAATTATTCCTTTCAGATGGATTCTCAAAGGGCATGGGCAAAATGGATTTTAGAGAGGAGCCCACACATTCTCCAGGTCAGCATGTCAGCTTGGTTAGGGCCAGAATCTCTGAAGAGTATCTTTTCTGTTTCCTCTAGCGCCCTGGAGGCTCTGATCAACTTTGCTTACAACGGCCACCTTGCCATTGACCAACAAAATGTGCAGTCGTTGCTGATGGGGGCGAGCTTCCTGCAGCTGCAGAGCATCAAAGACGCCTGCTGCACATTCCTCCGAGAACGGTGAGGTCGTGCGATGGACCTGGCCCATTTCATTCCTGGAATCCCCTGTGAATTTGTTGAGTCTTTGGGGCATGCCGAGTTTTCCGAAGGGAGTGAGCCAGGGAGTTTACTCTGCAGAAATAACCTTTCTTCAGATCTCTGTCAAGTAGTGTCCAGTTATTTGGGGTGAACATTTGAGGGGACATGATTTACGTACCCCCGCCTGCACTCCCCCTGGCCTGACATGTACCTCTTCTTCTGGTCCTCTCTTCAGTTTGACCAGCCACTGATTTAGCTGACTGTTCTCACCAAGCTGATTGGTTCAGTGCTACCTGTTGCCTAGCCTGTCTCCATCTTTGTGTAGATCCTGCCCCCTCCTTGAATGTCTTGGCTTCTTTTCCCTTCATCTCTTGAGGAGCCTACCCAGATTTCACCTCCTAGAATTCTCTGTCTCCCTCCGTCTCCCAGAAGCAATCATGGACTGTATCCTTACCTAAGTCCAGCATTTGGCAATGACCTTTTGATGACAGAGCAGATAAGAAGGCTCTTCCTCCCCCTCCGGAGGCAGAGCTCTTAGCCACAGGGTAAAAGCTGCGCCTTCACCACTAGAGACTTGAGGGTGCAGGTTAGCACTGGGCTCCACATAGGCAGGGAGAAAGCAGAACAACGTTTCTACCTGAGCTTCTATGATCACAGGTCCCTGACCTGAAAACCAGCATTCTTCCCACCTCAGATCTGCCCTCCTGAACCTCATTGCGTCGTAGAGCTGCCCTCTCCCATTCCTGCTCCACCAGACCAGTTCACTTAGCAGCTCTGCGGACCCCACCTGCTGTCCATGTCCTGCCCATGCGGTGTTCTTGGATGTCACTGAGCACTGCTGTGTGTGCACCTAGTCTTGATAACCGTGGTAATGATGCTTAGCATGCAAGGCGCTCTCTGCTGGGCTCAGAGTGAGTGGTTTCATCATGAGGTAGATGGTCTGTTTCAGGTTTTACAGATGGAGACCACATAATGAGAGCACAGCCCCAGAGCCCCGCCTGACCTTGCCCCAGAATGCGGGGGGTGTGGGGCACACAGTCTTTCCTACTCATTTGTGAGCTTCTTCTTCTTTTTTTTTTTTTGTCTATTTATTTATTTTGGGAGAGACAGAGACAGCATGAGTGGGGGAGGGGTGAAGAAGGAGAATCCTAAGCAGGCTCTGTGCTGCCAGCTGCATAGCCAGATGCAGCGCTTGAACCCACGAACCGTGAGATCATGACCTGAGCTGAAACCAAGAATCAGACACTTAACAGACTGAGTCACCCAGGCTCCCCTCATTTGTGAGCTTTTTAAGGACACAGATGAGACTCTTGTTTGTCTCTTTGTCCCCACAGAACTCAATGATTAATTAGGCACTCTGGAAAGAATTAAGGTTGGCCACTCTCACAAGGGGACAGCAGCTCCACCTAGGGGCTTTTGAGGTCATCACTATCAATACTGGACCAGCCTCTTTTATAAAGTAGTGTCGTCCAAAAGATGCTTAAAAAGTGATTTTTAGACCAGTGGAATTTTTACATGCATCAGTGACATTTTAGGAAGACATACTTAAACACAAAGCCTGATGTTATGTCTGTCTTTTGACATTTTTCCATTCAGCCCTGCAAGAAAAACACACCTTCAACTAAACTGGGCTTTGACATCTAAAAGAATGGGATGTGGGAAGCCTGTCTTTATTCCTCCACACAGGCTCCAGAGGCTTGGCCTGCTTTCTATTTTCTTTCCAGTAGTTACCATCACTGCTTCTGTTCCTTGGGGTGGTTCTCCTGAGCCTGGCTGCAGAGTGTGTTAGGGTGTCCCAGCTGCCCCCTTCCTATGTATCCCCTTCCTATGGAAGCATGTGGACCTTCCATTTTCAAGTTTTGATTGCTAATGACTTGAGAGAAACCATTCTGAGCAGTGGTGGAAAAGACAGGATGTGCCAGGGCACAGAGAAGCTGCAAAGCCATCAGAGTTCTTAGAGCAGTCGTTCCTGAAGTCTCTCCACCTATTGGGTCTTCAGCCTCTCCTGATTTTTTTCTTTCATGAGACTGGGGTTGATTTTTTTTCTTGTGGCCCCTTTCCAAGTCTTCAGATGTATGGACCTCCTTGTGTCTAGGTGAGCATTGGAGCTGTGTATTTTCTAAAATACTCGTCTCAGAACATCAAATGCATCAGTGAACCAAGCCAGTAAGTTATTTAATTCAAGTCATTGCTTCCTGACTTTGATAAAGCATTACATCTTACTGTGGCCTCCTTGCTTACAAGCTATGCCAGCAAGGAAGGAGGTCGTGAAGTGTCCACTGAAAGATGTGCGTCTGTATCAACACTTTGGGTTCTTTTTCCCTCTTATCTTCTTCCTGCTCCTGAACGGGGCCGTCTCCTGTGTGCCAGCATTCCCTCCTCCTTCCCCACCTGCTGCCTCACAAGCAGGCTGCCCACATCCCATCCTTTTAGATGTCAAAGCCCAGTTCAGTTGAAGATGTGTTTTGTTCTTAATGCCAAGCCGGTGAAAGGCAAAGGTGAGGTGCAGGAATCCTAGCCCGAGAGGGAGCGGATGGGAATGTGCACAAGTCTCATTCAGTCACTGTGAGCACTGCAGGAGAAAGGCGTTATTTGATGACTGAGCTGAGATTCTGATCTTAAGCCCTGTGTTCCTCACTGGACATGCTGCCTTGCCTAAGTGTTGCTCAGTGCTCATGCTTCCCTGGCCTTTGTGGAAATGCATGTAGGTTTCCAAAGCAATGGACAGACAGAGCCAGTTCAGTCTGGAAGGGAAACAACATCTTGTGGAGTTTAGACTATCCCAAAGCCAGACTCCTGAGATTGCCCTTCAGGTCTGCTGATGAGGGGCAGGGGTGCTTGTTGGTGAGTACAACTCTGCCTAGAACTTTAAACAACATGGCGGCGGGGTGGGGGGAGCAAACCTTCTGATACATACCCTCTCCCTCCATGGATTATCAGTCACAAAGTCAAAATAAGAAAAGCCCCATCCCCCCAGGATCTCCTGCTGTCACTAAGATTTCAGCACCACTTTGGGCTCATTTGAGATGCAACAGTAGTAAGAAAACCATTATAAACATGAAGGCAGCTGCCCCGACTTCATGCCAACCACCACGCTGAGTGCTTTTGCCACATTCTTGCTTAATCACGGCCACAGCCTGAGGAGGTGGGTAGCTGTTGTCAGGTGAGGCTTTTTCCAGGTGAGGCTATTAGTGGCACTTGAGGGATCCTCCCCTGTCACCTGGTGCCATGCAAGGCCCGGATTTACCCAGATGGCCCCAGTGAGGGCAGGTCTGCCTTGGGGCCACGGGAACGCGCAGAGGGTTCAGCCTCGGTACCGCCACTTGCTTGTAGAAGGCTGTGGGCACGTTTCTTAGTTTCTCTGAGCCTCAGTTTTCCGTCTAAAAATGGAGGCGATTACTGCTTGGCAGTGCAGTTGGAGACTCTGGCCTGGCAAAGTACTGGGCTCACCGATGGTGCTGAGTGGTAGCTGCTGCTGTCGCTTCTGGGCGTCTGAACAATTAGACCCATAGAGCTTCTTGCTATTTAAAAAAGATGAAAAAAGTAAGTATAAGAATAAGATTTTAGATCAACTAAAAAGATGAAAAAGTGGAAGGGTCCCGATGTTAGAGAAGTCGTCTCCCCGCGTGGTTTAAAGTCTCATCCTACAACCTCAGTACCCCCCTGGGGAACAGAGGTAGATGTTCACCAAAGCATGCCAGCGGCTGAAGGAAAGCAAACAGGTTTTCCAGTATGTGCTCTCTTCTCTCCTCAGGGCTGCTTCACGGGACTTCCCGGAGAGCTCATTCCACCTAGACGCACTGAGCACGAGGCCCAAGAGGCAGGGCCCTCTGAGGATATAAACTGTCTTAATTTTAAGCCTGTACAGTTGAGGCGCTGAGAGGCACCCCTGAGATCACACAGGGAGTTTCCAGCAAAGCTGGGGTTTTTTCCATTCTGTAGCACCCCACCCCCCGGAACCAGCCTGAGAATGATCGAAGAGAACATTCTTCCTCTAAATTGTTTCTTTTCATCTTCTCTTACGCCAAAAGCCTCCACCCCAAAAATTGCCTGGGTGTACGCCAGTTTGCTGAGACGATGATGTGCGCGGTGCTGTACGACGCGGCCAACAGCTTCATCCACCAGCACTTTGTGGAGGTGTCCATGTCAGAAGAATTCCTGGCCCTGCCCTTGGAAGACGTGCTTGAGCTGGTGTCTCGGGATGAGCTGAACGTAAAATCTGAGGAGCAGGTGTGTAGAGCAGGGCAGCGGTCTGGTCTGCAGGTGACACGGGGCTACTGCTCTTTCTGATCTTTGT